CTCTCAAGCTCCTCCGGACCATCTCCAATCTCGTCTGCAAACTCACCTGCTTCATCCTCGACCTCAGTCTCCTCCTCCAGCAGTTCTTCATCCTCCTCATTTACCAATTCATGATCCTCCTCCTGTCCCACTTCCCTCTCTTCAAACTCCTCCCCACCATATTCTTCAGGCTCATACTCTGGTTCATTGTCATCTAAATCCAATCTTTCATCTTTTCCGAAATCATCCACAGAATCCTTTACCTCAGTCTCCTCTGCGAGTAAAAGCGAGTAAAACATCTAGACTAATCCAGGTAGTAGCCTAAAGTTTGTTTACAGATAACAAACCCCAGAAGATACGTCTATCTTCCACACAAATTAAAACAGTTAACCCTAAATTCGTCATCCAAATTAAATCCTAACATTATATTGTCAGCTATGTTAGAAGACCAAAGTCCCAAACTTTCTTCAAAGCGAAACTTAGATCCATCAAAACAATGAAAACGATTCGAAAGCAAGCTAGTTAACCCATAATCAAATCAACCGCAAAGAATCTTACTTTTCGACAAATCCAGATTCGCTGCAGCTTCAGAATCATCGAAAGAATCCAATATCTTTGGCCCATCTAATCGATTCTCTTCCTCAACCAATTTATCAACCTCCGGTGTCGTCTCCTTCGATTCAACAGCATCGGAGACAGATACGTCTCCGATATGATCAGATTCTTCGTGGGCAGATTCCACCGGCGGATTCTGCGCCTTGATAGCCGATCTCGTAACCCTACCGCCTCTTCTCGCGGCGCCTCCCCTCTTCACAACCTTCGGTGGCATCTCTTTTCCTATTTTCTTCACCAATCAGATCAAACAAACCTAATTCGAAGAACAAACTATCAGAGCTAAAGCTACACAATTATCGGGATCGAACAACCCTAGCTCAACGGATCAACAATTGTATGGAATCGAGAGAGAGAGAAAGAGAAGAAACCCTAATTGACGGGGAGAGATGAGAGACCCTGAACTTGTTAGACTTAAAAT